CTCTATTTAGTTTTCTGTCATATGCAGAATTTGGATCTGAGTATCTGAGAGATAAAGGCTTGTGTTGAAGGGAAGAAATAAAATGTACATACCCTTTTCTAGGCTGTTAGATGTCTTAGCGGCAAGGAAAGATCCACATGGATTATCAGGAGCAATTTTGATAAATGGAGCACCTCAACCTGCCAATTTCAGATGTAATTCTGGTTATGTGCCACAAGTAAGTATTAGTGGGTTTGCAATTTGGATTTCCTCTGCTTCTGTATGGACATGTGCCTCAGCTTAGAGATTAGTATGCTTATGCTTCCGGTTATTAAACAGCATATCTATAGATTCAACTTAATCTATACCAACTTTTCATAGTCTCACAGTAGACTGAGGAGTGGTGCTATCCAACAGGAAGATGCAGAAGCTTTGAAATAGGCCCTTCTGGCACAGAAGTATTCATCCTGCTCTTATAGCATGCACAGTTGTCCTCTACTCTCCCTGCAGTTTTCTCCATTCCATACAAGAGGTCTTCTGCAAATAATTACACAAAGAAGCCTGGAAGTGTCCAGTAGCACTCACCAAAATACCTGTGTTCTACTTGCGAGGGAAATTAGGGATAGAAACAGTTCTATAGGGGTCTGTGCTGTCTGTGTGTGACATAATGGTCTTAGTGATAATGTCTGATTGAAAATACCATTTGCTTTAAGATTGACATGGTGATGGGCACAGTGACCATGAGAGAAAATGTAGAGTTCTCAGCGGCTCTTCGACTACCAATGACTGTAACAAGTGATGAAAGAAGAAGGAGAATTAATGAAGTCCTTAAACTGTTGGGTCTGGATAAAGTGGAAAATTCCAAGGTAATTTTTGAAGAAAAAATATAAAGACAATACCCTGAAAAAATTATAGCCAAGAAAAAAAAAGACCTCCCTTGTTGGATATTATGACCCTCACTCAGAAGTTTCTTATAACATGTGTGGGCAAGGTTGTGCTTTCTGTAATAATGAAAAAAGCGACCAGTCATCTGAGATAAAGGTAGAAATTAAGCTGGAAGAGTGGGCTTGGGATGGTTCATTCCTGACGAGTGCAGTGCAGCAGGGAGCAGCCTTGCTCACATGGCCTTTTCTTGGGACCCTCCTCTCCCCTCGGTGTTCAAGGCATGACTCATTTGAGGATCTGGCACTAACATTTCTTGTGTTTCTCTTCTCTTCCTCCAGTGGATCTTGATCTGGTCCTTTTTTGAAGCACATTTCTTCAATTGATACATGATAAGAAATTGAGTCTTGCTCTGTTTCACTTTGCAATAATTTTACTTCTAAGATTCTGTTTGGTCACATTAGTATTTATTTAGATTTGCTTAGTGCTTGTTACTTTTCTTTTTGTGGTTTTCTCTCTCATCCCCTCTGTGATAGTTTTAATTGTCAACTTGAGAGAATCTAGAATCACCTTGGAAGAGAATGTCAATCAGGAATTATCTGGATGACTTTGGCCTGTGCCGTATCTAGGTGCGATTGTCTTGATTAAGTTCACCGATGTGGGAAGACCCAGCAGACTATGGCAGCATTACTCCTGGGTTTGGGTCCTGGTCTGGACAAGAGTAGAGAAAGTGAGCTGAGCACTGGCAGGCAGGCAAGCAGCCATTCTCTCTCTGCCCTTGACTGCGGATGTGACTAGTTGCTTCAGGCTCCTGCCTTGACTTCTCTGTGAGTTCTCTGTGAATTAAAGTAAACCCTTTTCTCCCCTGAATTGATTTTTGCCTGAATATTTTTATCACAGCAACTGGACAGGAAACTTGGACATCCTCTTTCTTTCCCTCTCCCTTCTGTCTTATCTTCTGTCAATATTCACTTTCAGCGTCTGTTAGGTTAGAGATAGAACAGTGGGCAAGATCAGCACAGAACAAAGCCATTCCTTTAGGGGTGTGTGTGGGTCAGGAAGATGAATGACACAATAGGTGAACTTACAGTTGACTCATTTCTTACTGTAATATTTTAAAAGAATATTGCATAATATTTCACTCGAATACTTATGCATCCATGGAAAATACGAATATTTACTTCCTTACCAATTTTATTCTTAAGTATCAAAATAAATAATAAATTCATATCTTCAGCCATCTCAGGTCCATATTCAAACACATTTCCCCTAAAGATTTATTATTCTATTGTTAATAAGACCTTATCAACAATTTGATTTGTTCAATGCCTGGAGATTTTAAATATCAGAATTGTTTCCTACTTCCTGTGTCCCCCAAACTTTCCTGCCTCACAGAATTGACACTGAGTGGCTGGCAGGATTATGTGTAGATGTCTCCTGAGCAGACATTTGGTTCTTTGGGTGCAAATTTGCTACCCAAAATGCAGTTCTCATGGTTTACCCCCTCCCTGTGACAGTCCTTTCTGAGAGGCATGGGAGGTTGGGGCAGGACTAGCTGCTGATTCCCACAACAGTTCCCTGCAGGTTTTTATGTGAGATTTATTTTGTTTGAGAACAACTCTGAAATTCCACCATATTCTTTTGTAGTTTTGTTTAGCACTGTTTATTTACTTAATTTTGTATTTCCAAAAAGTTACTTTGCTTTTCTCTGATCTTTAATTAGTTATATCCCCAGATTTCTTACGTAGATTTTCAGGGAAAACAAATGGAGGCATTTATTTTTCTTGTTAAAATTCATGACATGTAATAGATTACAATAATTTTAATATAACATAATGAAAATTTTTAATAAAGATGTGGGGTATGTGTGTGTGTGTGTGTGTGTGTGTGTGTGTGTGTGTGTAGAGGTGGGCCATGGCATACATGTGGATACCAGAGGACAACTGCTTTCCAAGAGTTTTTTTTTCTGGTCTTTTTGAGTCAGGGTCTCCTTGTAGCCCCTGGCAGCTTGGAACTCACTTTGTAGACCAGGCTGGCATTGAACTCAAAGTGATCCGCCTGCCTCTGCCCTACATCCAGCTTTTTTATATGAGTTCCAGGTCATCAGTCTTGTGTAGCCAGCAGTTTTGTAATTTGAGCTGTCTCCCTAGACCTTAATGAGATTTCTGACATGACAATTGTATAAAAATTACTGCGGTTACTCTAACAGTATGATTGTTATATGGTTAGCATAGTAGTATTCTATACATACTGTTCTGTTGTTTCCTAATATAATGTTTGATCGCACACTCACTAATGCTATTTTTTACAAAGGCATTTTAAAACAACAGTACATAGTTTTTGCTCTCAAGTACTTAATTATGCATAATGAAAAATAAGAACATTTATTTACCTTAACAATTCCAGTCTTAACTATCAAAATAAATAATACCTTCATAGCCTCAGCCATGTCAGGTCCATATTCAATCACATTCCTCCAATCTCCTTTATCATCATCATGTTAATAAGACTCATTCAAACATTTGATTGTTATATATTTGCAGATTTTAAATTTCAGAATCCTTTCCTCCTTTCTGTGCTCCAAACCTTCCTATTTGCCCGAGCCTAACACAATGACATCAACTGTCACACAGATGGTTGCAGCTTGACTTGTTGAATAATCCCACCTGGATTTATCTAAAAGGATGACCTGGGAATTTTGTGAGGTTTTAGGGTGTAATAATGTCAATATGTAAAATCTGACAGTTTGAAAGCGTACTGATAGAGTGTGGTAGAATGTGAACTTTCTAGGTCCTACGTCTACTCTCCTTCTAAGTTGTCTTCTGGACTTTAGGATAAAAACAGTGTGTGTGTGTGTGTGTGTGTGTGTGTGTGTGTGTGTTGATGTGTGTGTGTGTGTGTGTGTTGGTGTGAGCTCGGGGATGATAGCTGACTCATAAATTACCAGAAATCATTTTTATTTTCCTCTCCTTTCTTTCCCTTCTTTTTAGACAGTGATTTCACTATGTCAAAGTCCTTTAGTGTTATAATTTATTGCCATAAAACTGAATGTTTGACTTGATAAGGAACATACAAAACTGTTTGCAAACAGGGACTTCATATCAAGTCTTACCTGAGTCTCTTTGTACTCAACTGGTAAAGAGGAACCTCATTCTCCCAGGTGTCCATTTTTCTGCTGTTCAGGATAATGATATTAAAAGTAACATTAACTTTTGTGGCAAGCTCAGGCAGGTTTACCAAATGATACTGACTTTGGTTGTCCTTGTTGATAATGACAATGATTGATGTGTTAGCCTATTTCAAAAGAAGACAGAAAAAGGACTGCTATAGCAATGGAGCTGATCACTGACCATCGCATCTTGTTCCTGGATGAGCCCACGACTGGTTTAGACTCCAGCACCGCACATGATGTTATTTTGCTCTTGCAATGGTAAGTGACAAAGGAACATTTTGTTTCCATTTATTTAATACTGGTCACGTGTATGTACCAGCTATTCTTGGTATGGGGGATTCAGAAGTAAACAACTGAATTTGTCCTCCTTTATTAGAGGGAATCAGTCAGTTATGAACGAAGATTTATCAAGAACAATGAAATGAGCATAGGGACGGGTGGTCATTGTGAGGGTGCAGCACTGATTTAAATAACATATGGGGGAGCACTTCCAGCATGTGACAAGTGAGCTGTGCCTGAGTTGGTATGACCTGACTTTGGCAGAAGAGACTTCAGGCTGGAAGGAAAAGCCAGAGACTCTGATGCAGAGTATTCCTCGTGTGTCTGGAATATCATGGAATCAAGTTGGGTTAGGACCCAGAGATCTGAGGGGATGGAGGTTGGCTAGTGTACTCTTGTAATAAAACACCACAGACTGGGTGGTAACAAAAGAAATTAATTTTCTTAGCGTTCTGGAGGCTGGAAGTCAAGTATGAAGGTACCAGCAGGTACCTCTGTCTGCCAAGACCT